TGATCAAGAAGACGAATATACAGGGCGATTATCAAGAAATGCTGCTTATCACAAAATCAAATAAGAAATTTGTCCTTAATAAGTTCTTAATAATCAACTTTCTTCTACACTTAGTTACAAGTAGTTCTACTGTGGATTGTAATCTTTTCAATACCTGGTGGACAATTTATCACAGATAGTATTTAAGTTGGAATTAGACATTCTGAGTTATGAATTTTTTTCTTATATAATAGATCTAAGATATAATTCAATTTTAATAGTAACAGTTTGACAGATGTCTCTCAATATTAATAGTCTTGAATAATATAAGTAATCCTAGTAACTTCAAATACATGACAAGTTAGACGACTGATTTCTAATAATGACGTAACTTTGGATTTGCAATACCTTACATCGCGATTTTATTAATGCAAGCAAGGATGTTGCAAACGTCAATTGCGATTGTGTACGTATACGTGTGTAAACTGTCTTCATCCGTAAATCTTGCAGACAATGCATATTTTAGATAGTTCAGATAGCGAACGCTAGTAATATCCGACGAATCTTTTCAGATCTTTTTTTTTCAAAGGTAAAACGAGTTAAATTTATTTCCTTAACATTAGCCTTTTACTGTATGGGACAAACAATTATTTGTCAATCGGTTCAAATATAATCAAATATAATTTTTCCGCAAAAAGATTTCCATTTGACAATAGTTTTCATAAGTATATAAATATTCGCTTATATTTATGCAAAGCAGCTAAGAAATTAAACCGAGATAAAAAAATTTTTAAACGAGTCAATTAAATGACTAATAATATAAGTTTATTTACGTTGTGAGTGATATAAGACTCACGGAATATTTCGAACTTTACTCAGTCCTCTTCAGCCGTGAAAAATTATAATGAAAACTTATACACAAGTTTCCTTTGGAACTAATTCACAATTATTAAATTATTCTCTACCTAAAAGATCTAAAAAACTTATACTGCGATTCTTTCCATATTCCGTAATGAATTGACAATTATGTAAAATTAACTATTCAAAGTATTTAAAAAATGAGAAAAGTTTTGTCAAAAGATGCCGCCATAATTATGGCATCTACGTAACGGAAATATAACAGTAAATCTAATGCAATCATACTCAAAGCTTTTTCCATCTGTCAATCCTTTAATGGCTGTATACATATTGAAGGAAGAGATGTTTTCTAGTTAAATTAAATACGTTAAATACTTAGTATTCGCTAATAAAGACTTGAAACTGAGATAAAATGTACGAACCTAATGTATAAGAAGAACAAACATTAAAAATCATATTTTAAGATTAATTGCGCTCTAATTACCGCGTTTATACTCTCATTTGCCTGAATCTTTGTTTTTTGTTTTTTTTTTTCAAAGTCTTTTGCTTAAGATCTTGCAAAATTATTCTATCACAGGTAAAAGAGGAGATCCCAGATGTACTGAACGTGTCTGCTTATATATGACAGCATTGAACATGAAAATGAACTTTGTCTTTGGAATTAACATATATTTTTAAATGTCTGGCCACTTCTTTTGAATTCCATTTAATTTCCATTAAACTTCATGTACGCTTTAAGATAGAAAACTTCAAAATAAAGCCCAATTACTATATATTAAAATTACGATACTAACAATCAATAAGATGAATTCGAAACTGATTTCCTATCAGATTATCTAGGGAAGAAAATTTAGGAAAGAGGAAAACTTAAACGTTCAAGAGATCCGTACTCGAAAGAAGACATGCGGTTTACAACGGAATAAAATGTACGCACTGTAAATTCCGTCGTGCCTCAAACCTGCTCGAGGGAACGAGCTCTCCCTCACTGGGCGTATACGCACCTTTCCGGACATCCCGTACCCCACACCGGCAAACAAAAGGAAGGGAAAGAATCGAGAGCGACGTTTGCGACGAATTGGAGCGCGATTGAAGAATCGACCGTTTCGATTCCTGGATCGTACGAAATGGAGCCGCGATCGGAGCAGCTCCGAGTTCTCGAAGGGCGCGTATTCTGTCACCGGGGAACGCCACCTCGTTATTACCTGGATGTCGCACGCGCACGCTTCTAATCCACGGACCTGGACGATCGATCTCTCTCTCTCTCTCTCTCTCAGTCGATGCTCCTCCCGAGAAGGATCGACGTCGGCGTCGCCGTGGGTAACTCGACCGACGACGCGACTCCGTACACGTCGAGAGAGGGCCGCGGGCGTACTGAACACGTCTCGTCTGCCTAGTGCCTGCCTCTCCGCTCCGGCTCTCGCGCTCCTCTTGCTTATCCTGGCTCAATGATCGACAACAGGGAAAGAAGGAAGGCCGGAGAGGGAAAGAAAGAAAGAGAGAGGACACATAGACGCGCGTATGCCGCGTACACGCACCGACGACGACGTGCACTGAAGAGAATGCGAGCGGAACGCAAGGGTCTCACCCTGTGAGAGAGGTAGGAAGAAAAGGAAGCGCGGGCGGCGAACTACCTCGCGGCGTTAAATGTGTGTGTGTATGTGTGTGTGTGTGTGTGTGTGTGTAATACATGCAGAACCCATTCGAATGTTGTGGCGCGGTGCGGTGCGGTGCGGTGCAGAAAACGCCACGCAGGCGCTTCCATTCCCTTCACGGCTCCAATTCCATAGTACGTGAAACTCTGATGAGTGTCGGCATCTATCGTCATACCCATGAGATCCTTTCGCATTCGAATCGATCTTGCGAACTGCAGGTGTCTCATACTTAGAACATGTATAAATGGAAGAGGAATTGAGTGCTGAACCCAAAGCTCTAGATTACCAAATTAGCAATTCTTTTATCCGAGAAGAAATGCTAACAACCTTTCTATTGGCTATTTCAACCGCCACTTTTGTACTGGTGGCTGTACTCCAGTAAGCGCTTGATATTATTATAGTAATGTTTTTAATATAATATAGTTATTAGGTCAAAGATGAAGGACCTTTGCGCTACTTTGGTATATCTAGAGCTTTACTGAAGCAAACATCTGTGCGAGAGAGAAAGAACTATAGAGTCCAAATTGATTGTAATGCGCATGTGCCACTCAGCCCGTATTCCCCCGTTCCACTTCGTTCTAGTTTGTTGTCAATGTGTGAGAAACACTAAACAACTGTACAACGTACATACGCCTTACATGCATGGTCTGCGCATGCGTGAACATTTGAGACTATATGTTGGCTTCAGGCTTTATACATGGGCGGTATAATTCTTCTTTCATTTATGTTCTAAGGTTTCATGCAACAAAACACACGATGCATAATGTTTCGATTTCAATTTTCAGAAAAATACGTTCCAATAAATGCAGAGACATTTGCTCCAAAAAGCGGAGCAAGGAGAGTCCAGAAAGAACTCAATTTAAAAAAGAAGAAAAAAAGAAGATAGAAGAATAATGCTATGACCCAAGAGGGACATACACTTTAAAAAGAAAAGTGCTTTTTCCTAATGATTTAATAAAAATAAATAGAACAAATGTTCTTTCTATCTCTTCAACATGGAACAAGTGATTTGTTTAAAATATTATAAGAATTAGGCTAGAGATAACAGATCTAAAAATAATTATATATTTTGAACCATCAAAATAATCATGGGACGCTCAAACATGATGAGCAATACTGAAAACAATTTTGACAATTAAAACATTCTAACAATTAGCTTATGCGTTTTATGCTTACATAATTATTGATTGTCTATTTGATGCAACAAAATTATTTTCAGATCTGCATCTAATCTAAGGTGTACTGTTAAATAAGATTAAATTCTGCCTCGCGATTGAATCTAAATCTGGAATCTAATCTTTAAAAATCCTTTGTTAGAGATCCTAAGTATGAAAACAATCATTGTTTATCTAAGAAGTAGTGGGAAAGTTGTAAAAATAGCGCAATAAACTATTCTCATATCATATAATATTATTTATGAAGACGAAGAAAAATGTTCGTTATATTTTATCGCAAAGTTAACTACTAATTTTATTATGTTTGACAATAAACAATTTTAGACAATTTGGCAATTTATGAGTATTATCGACAATGATAGAAATTTTGAAAACACAGACATTTTATAAATTATGTACTAAAATAAAGTTATTTTATAAACTATGTAAAATAACTTTGTACAAAACTAAAAATTCTACCGTCAAAACACATCTCTCATTTATTTTCGCTTTAAAATCCAACTTATCCTGAAAATTCGTATTTAAAGAAATATTTTATTAGAATATCAATAAAAGATAAAATCGCATAATGCTGCGCCTTTTATTATATATATATGTATTCTGTATGGATTTACTTGAAAAAAATAAAACTCCGTCGAGAGTCTAGTGGGAGTGCTGCGTACTTCGCAGATAAGTGACTTTAGTAAAAAGGACGTCATCGAAGATAAAAATCAGTTTAAAAATATCATGAAGTATTGTAATATTTATATAAGATATTTTATATGTTTATTCCTCTCTTCCTATTTGGCATTTATATTTAAAACAATAAAGAATCATACATAAATTGCTTAAAACATCTTTTATAATTACTGAAATTTATTTTAGTAAAATTTAAGCAAACATATTTTATATTTTACTGTGTAATAGATATTAATGAATCATATTGTTGTAAAATTTTTTGAAATACCATGTTGTTCTACAATTACCATGGCTTTTAGATAAATTTTAAGAAAAAAATTCTCTCTATAATACTGTATATAACCTTATTTGATCGTATTACACAACATTTTATCATTATGTTCATGATAAGGAAAATTGTATTGTAACATACGCATTAAAACGTACAAATCTCATTGTACAAACAACATGTTAAATGTTCCTACGATATTATAAATTATACGTCGTCGTGATGTTTGCATGCAATGACATTGAAATCGAAAAGCTTGGTTTCCAAACTTGAACCCACCGAGCAACGTTAAGGCAAATAAACATCACGTGGGGGAACTAAAGGGCTAAAGCATGTTCCCTGCATTATTCAATGGCAAGATACTGACCGCGCGAGCTGTGCGATTTGCGTTGCTAACGGGGAACCTTGCACGTTCGAATATGAGAATCACGTACGTGATTACAAAACCCTCGGTATATGTAACCGTATGCGAATAAAGAATTGCGATGATCTCATCGACGCGAGAGGGAGTCCACTAAAAAAGCCAGCTACGCCGTTCACGGCTGACTTTAGCACTTTGCACTTTTCGTACCTCGCCGGAAAAAAACGGACTCGCGATCTGCACAATTGATGTAATCGAGCAACCGCGGTATATTATCGAACTGCCGTCTCTTTCTCAAAATATACTCTTAATCATCTCGTAATCTTATCGCCACGTAATATTGATATTATACAGAACGATAACCGTCAAAGTCGCGAAATACGCGAATTTTCTTGGCGAATTGTTACCAATGAATCCTTTTATGATTGTGCGCGCCAGAGATTAAAATATCCTAGAATAAAATGAAGATAAATATACACGGTTCTAAATCTTACTTTTTAACGTCTTTAATTTAATCCCTAATGGTTTAATGTAGTTTAATCCCTTAAGTAATATTTTATTATTTTTACCTTCCAAGTATGTCAAAATATAAATTAATTTAGCTAAAATTTAACTTATTATTTACTAAATGCACGCATTAATATAAATATTTATATTAACGTATGCATGTAATAAATACTAAATTAAATTTTAATCAAATTAATGTATATTCTTGAGTTAAACTTTAACTCTATTATTTTAGTTAAATTAATGATATAATAGAAGTAATGGCGACCTATAAAAATAACTAAGAATAACTCAAATTGGATATTATTTGTCATTATGAATTTATCAGTGTCTGTCTACAAAGATACATAGATTAAGATATATCTTCTTTAAATTCTAATTCTTCCGCAAGTTGAATTTATTCTGTAAATCCAGCGCTAAGACGTATAATCGTTACTCGTGTTTGAGCACGAGACTTCATGTTTCTCGTATGCTTGAAATATAACGGGAAACATCGCGAATCTCTGGAATTTCTATCGGTGCGCAAAGAAGGAGCGTCTCGGTATAATGAAACGGTCAAAGTCATCCTTGTGCATATATTATATGTACAATACCGTGACATTCCCGGGAGATAACGTGCCGCATCTTGGAAATTATCTCCGTACCTTCCGTTCTTGTGTATCTCTCCTAATAACCTCCGGCTACTTATCTCGTTTGATCCGGTTAAACGACGATGCTCGTGCCAAGAATATATCTATAATATCGAAAATATCATCTTCGTCACTGTATATATACTGTGATCGGAAAAATGAAATGTGTCAGACGAGTTACGGCCGCTACATAAGAGCGCGTCATAGAGCGTCATAGTCTTCAAAAGTATCTGCGAATATAAATTGCCGATATAATCAAAAGTAACGCAAAAAAGTGTAACAGACAAGTTTGATGGATTTATAGTAAGAATTAGATTTAGCGAAAGATTACACTCGGATGTAATTGAGCAAATATGCGTCGAATTTAAAGTGAACTTTTAAATTAAGATTAGGACTTTCGAGATCGTAGCGAATCGAAAGACAATGCTATTAAAGCGCAAATGTAAAGCTATCTTTTGTGAAATATTAACATTGCTCAACGAATTTTACCTATATATGTCTCATCATGCACAGTAAAATTTTCATTATTATAAATATATATATGGTAAAATATTGTGTAATGTGTAATTAAATACTATTATATTCTCATATATAAATGTAATGTTTGTAAATTATGCACGTTTTACTTTTGCGTTGTAAATGTATAACTATAATTATAACGATATGATCGGGGCTGTTATGACTGTTTTAAGTGCCTCTACACTGAAATTTCTTCGCATGGATTAGTGCAAAGACAAATAAAAGATAATTTTAAAAAATTCCTACTCTTAGCATTATCCAGAACTATGACGAAGACGTAGCAGGATAATAGTTTCGTTTTTGCTTTTTTATGTTTTATATTATTTTCTATTGTTAAAGAAAGGCGTGTGCCTGTTGCACACGTTATGTGGAACGCTTTGTTTTCTTGTTGACTCGTGTCCTTATGGCCTTGCAATTGTGGGAATAATGGATATGCTTGTGCAACTCAAAACGTGCGTTAATTTCTGTAAAAATCTTTACTCTCTTTACAATTCGTACTATATTTACGAAGTAACAACGACTACTGTTCGCGTACTAAGGCGCAACGTATAAATGACGACGAACACGACCGATCGCTACCAGTCGGCATTGCGAGTGCTTTAGCGGAACGGGAAATCACTTGATACACGCTAAGATTGTGACTGAGTTCCGTTATTCACTGTAAATATTGAAAATCTAGTAATAATATACCGTGAACTATAGGTTTTCAATACTTGCAGTGAACAACGGAATGCAGAATGTCAGAATAGCACGCCGCAAAAGCGACATTTTTGAACGGCTGCACGTTACATGAGTGCATTTACATCCATCCAGCTCAGACATTTATCTTTTATATTTTTAATGTGTTAACTTTTATTTGATTCTAGTATTAATTTTGATATCACGGGTGTAATTATAATAGAATATATTTTACATTTTGTTTTGTAATAATATATTTGGTAATAATACGTTTTGGGGAATAATACATTTTTGAGATAATAAATTTGAGAAATAACATTTTGTAAAAAGGCGAGAAAGATAATTTATCTGCAAATTATATTTTTTTATACCTTATTAGCTTTTAGCGAGTATTTCTATAAAATTCCTTGTAATGGAAATCGTTGGCTAATTCATTCTTGATCGATAACACTGCTAAATCAGTTTTAGTGCATGAAAGTGCATGAAAGTGAACAGTTTGATCTCGTAGAATCCTGGTTCGATATCTTATTACATTTAACGATGAACATCTGTTCATCGAGGGTGGAGACGTAGCCCAAAGGGGATTTGATGCAGCAACGAGATTTTGCGAGATTTTGCGCCGCAATTTTGATTTGACGAGCCGATTCGATATTTACGGACGTCGATTTCTACGCAATCTAGCATTGCTTCTCGATGCATGCGCACGTAGAAACGGATGCTATTTCGGTGACCGCGGGTGCGCCAGTTGACGTCACGCATATGCGGCTTTCGAGGATGCGATTTAACGCGATAATCGACTCCCGTGATTGAAGCTTTGACGCGTTAATTTATGAGTTGTTGCTAAAGTTACGATTGCTCGCGAAAAACAAGTCAATGCGTGCGTCACATATTCAATACATGTATCTATGTGGCATAATATTTCATTCGTTTACCGCCAATTAAAACTGTTATGATCCAAATTGAGCTCATTGCATTAAATTTGCATGTGTAATGTAACAGCAAATGTGCCATATGCTTCTTATATTAAAGACGTTTTCCTTCAGAAAAAATTTCACATAATATACATTTCTTGTACTACGTTAAATTTTGAAATATTTTAAATATTCAAAATATTCAAAATTCGAGATTAAAAGAAGTTTAGAATAGAATTTCGGTAATTCCTTTTTTTTTTTTTTTTTTTTTTTTTTAATT